TCAACATCTGGCTCACACCCGGAAACCGATAGTAGAAGGATGGATGGGACCCCGAGACCTATGGGATTTGGTCATGGCCTCATTCTAAGACTTATGTTGTCTAAGTCTCAACTTTATTTTGTTCGATGAAACTGAACATTAATATGTTATATAATAGTTTACTTAAAAATTACATTTGCACGACTACTAGGCTTATATTTTGACTTCATATTTCACTAGCGGAGCTATGTTGACGCCGAGGGGGCCTCTGCCCCCCCCCCCCTCACCCTCCTTGGACCAAACTCAGATGTTTGGAGCTATTTTATACTTAGGCTCAAGTTTGCCCAGGCTTCACAAAATTTCTAGCTTCGCCACTGCGGACAGGCTGAGGAAGCTGACGCCGTAGTGGCGCCAGCCGTCGCCGACATCCACTTGGGAGTAGCAAAAGAAGTCGGAGAGCGTCTGCGGCGACCTCCTGCGGACGACCGGGTCGGAGCAGAGCGTCAGCCATGCGGTGGACACGCACCTGAAGCGGCAGAGCGACCGGTACGGCACCCTCGACAGGATCTCCGAGAGCAGGTCGCCCCAGAGGCTCTCCGCTGCCGGCGGATTCTCCTCCTCCTCCTTCCTCTTCTCCATCCCAAGGGGGTGCTGCGAATGGCAGAGGCGCTTAGGGTTTTGATGAGATGCGCTTCGTCGAACCGAAGGTGAGGAGAAGGAGAGGGGAGGAGGGCGACAAACCTCACACCTCAAAGCGCGACGGGGATGGCGGCGACGCACGGGACGACGGCGACGGCGGCAGAGATGGCGGAGGCGAGCTGCTCTCACTGGAAAAAAAACACTCTGCTCCGTGTTTCCCCCACCTCGGCCCAAGGATAAAATACAATTGTGGCGGCCTCTCGGCCCAAAATGTGCCTTAGATAGATAGAGCACATGATTTTCTAAGCTCAAAAAATAAATGTTTTTCTAGGCACTTAATTAGTTACTTGAGCCAAAATGCAGGCCCCATACTTTCATCGGTAATAAAAGAAAGAGAAAGTGGTGGCCTCACAAAGATTATGCTACAATTGAACATCATGTTACAAAGATTTTGCACTAAACTTTGCTGCAAATATTGTTGCCTCAAAGCGCGACGGGGATGGCGACGACAGACATGGCGGCAGCGGCGGCGCGTATGGAGGCGAGCTGTCGAAACCAGAAGGGGAACTTCGCTCTCAGCCTCACACTGAGAGAACGCAATCTGCTCCGTGTCTCCTGCACCTCGGCCCAAGGACCAAACCACACAATTGCAGCAAACTCTCGGCCGAAATTGTGCTTTAGAGCACATTCCCTTTTTATGGGCTCTGAAAAGATGTTTTTTTGTTTTCCTAGGCTCTTAATTACAGCACAGTTTGCAAGGATTCCACTGGGAAATATCTAGACTCTTCGGGGTGTGACTGACCCAACATCATTGGAGGCTTTGGCTTGTCGAGAAGCGCTTGCACTTGCTCTTGACTTATCACTTGAAGACATACAGATAGCTTCAGACTGTTAAGGTGTGATTAAAGATATCCACGGAAATATAGATGGGCTACCCTCTGACATTATTAAGGAGATCAATCTTACATCTCAGCAGTTCTCTCGCTGTTCCTTCATCTTCGAAGGAAGAGAAACTAATCTTGAGGCACATAGCCTCGCAAAACATACTCTGGGCCTTTCTTTAGGACGCCACGTGTGGCTCCTTAATCCGCCGGATCTACATTGTATTCCTATGAACCTTTATAATCAATAAAGTCGATTGTGTTTAGACTCAAAAAAAAATAAAAATTGCTCCGGAAAAAGTTTCTCAAAAAAAATTACTCTGGAAAAAAATACAAATCACATAATTTCAGCAAAAACAAAATGGTTCCATGATGCCACCAGGAAGTACTATATGCTACACCATTTGTTCCTAAATGTAAGAGGTTCAATCTTACATCTAGGGTTTAGGAAAGAGGTGGTGCAATTAAACGTTATGGATGTTGCGTTCATAATATTATCTTGGTTTGCAGTGTTGTTCTCGATCCTACACAACATGTAGCATATTGATAAGACTGAAACATGTTGTGTAGGATCAAAGGTCATGCTCACACATACTGACGAAACTGAAACTGAAATGGTCGTCTTGCACACACATTTCTAGTAGCATATTCCTACCAAAATGTACCCTAGACTAGACATGTTGCATCAACTTCAGTTCCAACTACTCCTAGATACAAATACTTATGATCTGTCGGCCTCAGCTGGCGTTGTGCGTCTGGTCATGCTCGATCAAGTCCATGGCCTGCTCCTTGGACACCACGTTTGATGTTGCTCGCTCGCCCTGTTCTTGCGCGATCTTGTCCGCCACCTTGATGTAGCTCATCCTGTTCTTGAGCTCCGCCGCTATGAACTGGGCGTCCGCCGGATGCCGGACCACGCCTACAACACAACTTAAGGAAAGCAGCAGCAAAGATTCGGATGGATGTCCTCAGCTCAGCAGCAGCTGTATACCATGTGTGTGATTTAGCTCAATGAACACACAAGGCATTGGTGGGCATGCACCCAGCTAGACAGACAATATATGCATGAATATATAAAAGATCTCTATAAAACACTATATGATGACATGTACACTACTGTTTACAAAGACTGAGATGCCTTGGTTATGCTCTGTTACTTCTCCATCTGGCTTTGTGAATCGTAAACAAATGGAATTCAGTTGACATTGTTGAGGTTTGTGATTCTACTCAACCTGTTTGAGCATAACCAGTTACATGACAGGCTACTTGCTAATTTTCTTCATCATAAACCAAGTATCCGTGGCCACCTTGCACTAGTTCAGAGAACACTTCACGGAAGTGCCTTGCAACTCCTTTAAATGTGTGTTCAATTGATTCATCCTTCCTTTGGTCTAAAACTGATATCAACACTCTAATTTTCTGCAATACCAATCAGTAGATTTTTATGAGATTCTAGTCTGAGGACAAACAAAAGGGAAACAGGTTGTACTGATCAAAAAAGCTTGCCTCGTCACCAGCATCAAGTTCAGCCCGTCTTCTCTGCAGTTGTATAAAACTTATAAGGAGAGCACAGTAGCTTATCATTTCAAATTTTGTTGAGAGAATTTATCATCTGAAGTTAACTTCATAAACTTAAGAAACGCACTACTGTTTACAAAGACTGGGATGCCTTGGTCATGCTTCTGTCCAGTCATGCTTTTTTCTCTTCAACAGAGGCCTAGCTTGACATGCTTCTGTGCTGACTGCTGACATGTATCCTGCTGCTAGCTGTGCTAATTGCTAAACTGAAAAATATGATGAAATGCACACTACTGTTAACAAAGACAGAGATATTTTTTGGTCATGCTCTATCACTTCTCCATTTGGCTTTATGAATCCACTCGACATTGTTGAGGTTGAGCATTTGTGATTCTACTGAACCTGTTTGAACATAAACAGCTACATGATAGGCTACTAGCTAAGTTGCCGTTGCTATTCAGATAAGCACTAATGGAGTTACTGGCACACGTGCAAACGTAAGTTTCAAGGTGGAAGCTCTTCTTAAGGAAATCAAGCAGGTTTGCTAAGTCTATTCTCTATTGTTACTCAGTGAACTACTCCCTCCGTTCCGAATTACAAGGAGCCTGTTGTGTTTAAAAAGTGTAGCATTACAAGGAGCCTGTTGTGTGATAGAATAGAATAATTGTACCCATGTGTTGAATGCTCGGGTGAACAAATGAATTGAGGCTAATGTTACAAATGATGCAAAAGGTAGCATCTCTCTGTCCCAGTGTCATTGCCGTGTCAATGATTTCCTTAGTTTTTATTTATTTTAAAACAGCATTCCTCAGTGTTTACAAATGGCTTCAATATGACCGTGCTAAAATGTACATATATGATGTGAATAAATGGAGGAATAACGCCGTATGCCATGCTTGCATCATACTATTAAATTCTGGTTTAATATAATTGTCGTTTCTTTATTTTGCTGTAAATGTTTGAACATGTGACTGCAGGAAAGACCCCGCCACTAAATTTCGTTGAAGTTAGAAACACTTACTAGGTTGAGCAAGAACTGTCATGTTGAAGTCACTTCCTGGATGATACTCCCTCCGTTCCGAATTACTTGTCTTGAAAATTTGTCTAGATACAGATGTATCTAGACTCATTTTAGTGCTAGATACATCCGTATCTAGACAAATCTAAGACAAGTAATTCGGAACGGAGGGAGTAGATCTTTCTGTTATCACTATGCGATTGCAAGCATACCTTTACCAAAAAAAAATCCTAGTAGCTGCATCGAAGTTTATGAATGCTGCTGATTCTCCTTTTTTTTGCAAGGACATGGTCCTGATTCATGAACTACATACAAGCCACAGCATATGACAGTGGTATGACAGTCCAGTCAGGAATTACTTGCAGAACTAAAATGGCCATGGACAATTTACTCAGAACAAGGACACTGTAGGGTGTTAAGAGTGCTGGTGATGAACAATGAACCTGTGTGGCATTACATAACCAATCTTCACTACGAACAGTGGTATCACTGGATGAGTTGTGCTATTATCTTCCCATAAAAAGCAAATAAAATACAATTCTGTTCTCAGACTAGCACGTGCTGGTATTATTTGACACCATGCAAACAGATTTCGCTGAAGGAATCTCCCAGTTTGTATGTACAAGAACTTGAACAATTTGGTGCAGTATTCCATGGTATTAAATGAGACGACAAAAGGAGTATCCATTTCAAATAGCATATGAGAGCACACTACTTCCAAACGCATCAGAAAAGGACGATGTCTATAATTTAACTGTGATGGATAACAAGTTACAGTTACTTGAACTAAATAAGTGGATAGTGATGGATAACAAGTTACAGTTACTTCGCTAAACAAATGGATAGAAAGAGGATTTATCCAATCCACCACCCTGAACCAAGGAAATCTGGACCATACCGACATTTGATTCTCATGAAGTCACTGGAGGCATGCCGTCTCAGCAAACATGAAGCTGCTCCAAAATTTACCGAGGCTTCTCCGCGAAACAGGGAATGTATGGCTGAAATCTTCGTGGCTGGCGGTCTCCGAGAGTGCAGATAATACTCAGTTTACTGGTATCCATATCGTACGACATAAGTGTTTTTTCACGGCTCGCTACTAGGAAGATCAAACTGCACTCTGGATGGATCGCGATCAGCGTGTAGTGTTCGCCGGGCTCATGGTGAGGCCTTCCTAGCAATTCCAAAATGCTGGCGGTACACTTCAGGGTCCATTGTCCGCTGGCATAATCCTCAAGAACCCAAATGGATAGCTGGCATCTACCTTCAGTTTCAACATGTGTTGCGTATAGGCGTCCTTGCGACTGCCCGATGAAACCATTATAGATGGAATCCGGCAATCGGATCTTCCTCCATGTTTTACCCTCCATGTCCACAGTCACCATCCAGCGTATCAGGTTCCCCTCCCAGTCAAAATCGGCATCAGAATGGTCGGCGTCGACCAGATGCAAAGTGCCGTTCAAGAAGACGCATTCTGAATCCTCGCCGAGGAGGAGGGTCTTGGGGCTCCACTCGCTCCGCATGGAGGTCCACCGCCCGGTGTCCGAGGCATAGGCCTCCACGGTCTGAATCCCACGAAAGCTTTGCAAGAACACGAACACCACGAATCGGCCAGGGGCGGCGGGGTCGAAGCAGAGGCGGGCGGTGTTGAGGCGCATCATGATCTTATTTCGGGGCACGGGCAGCACGGCCCAGACCTCCTTGGTGGCGGGGTTGCACACGACGTAGTTCCCGTCGTCGCTCATGGCCGCCTTCTCGCAGTAGCAGAGGAGGATGCCGCCGCAGCAGTGCAGGGGCGTGACGTCGCAGTAGCCGCGCACGCGCACGAAGCGGAGGGAGGGGTCGTCGACCAGCGGCCGGCCCCACCCGGACAGGTTGAGGAAGCCGAGGCCGTCACGGCGCTGGCCGCCGCCGACGTCGTGCTGGGAGTAGCAGAAGAAGCCGGAGAGCGTCTGCGGCGACCTCCTGCGGACGGCCGGGTCGGAGCAGAGCGCCAGCCATGCGGTGGAGACGCACCTGAAGCGGCACAGCGACCGGTACGGCACCCGCGACAGGATCTCCCGGAGGATCTCCGGGAGCAGGTCGCCCCAGGAGCTCTCCGCCGCCGCCGCCGCCGCCGGCGGCTGCTTCTGCTCCTCGTCCTCCTCCGCCTTCTTCCTCTTCTCCATCCCGCACCCCGGTGGCCGGGCTGCTCCTGCTGCGAATGGAATTTGTTCGCTTAGGGTTTTGATGAGATGTGGTCCTCCCGGATCCCTTCTTCCTCGAGCCGAAGGTTAGGAGAAGGAGAGGGGAGCAGGGCGACAAACCTCACACCTCAAAGCGCGACGGGGATTGCGGCGACGGACGGGACGACGGCGGCGGCGCGTACGAGATGGTGGAGGAAGGGGGACACTCTGCTGTCTTTTTTTTTTTTTTTGAGAAATAGGGACACTCTGCCGTCTGCTCCGTGTCTCCCGCATCTTCGGCCCAAGAATAAAACACAACTGCGGCGGCCTCTCGGCCCAAAATGTGTTTTAGATAGAGCACATGATTTTTCTAGGACCCCGATAAAATCCGAACGTTCGGATTTTAAGCATTTCATCCCGAACATTTTTACATGACAACTTTAGTTGACGCGAGGTCGCAATTTTAGTTGTTACTAGCAAAAAGACCCTTGCGTTGCAACGTGAGAAAAAAAATACCACACGCTCTTAATTCACGAAAAGTGGTATATAATCTGAGAATTTGTAGCTACGACCCAAACAAATGTGGTCTTAGCCTAGAAAAGCGCAGTTCAAGATTCCACATGTATTCTGTTTCAACATGTTCATCCCCTATCCGAATCACTACCGGTATGAAAGAAAGAAGGATAATGCATTATTGATTAAGATTGCACCCTAATCACTAACTTAGATTGTATTTTCTTAAATTGTTAACACGTAAAATAACAACATATATATTCAGATTCTACATATTGTTCTAATCAAAATTCATATATAACATGTTAAATTTGGAGTTACTAGCAAAAGAGCCCCTGCGTTGCAACGGGAGAAAAAAAAGCCAAAATTAGTGACGTTGCAATAATTTATATACCAGAAAAGGTGTAATCAAAAGGATAATTTATAAATTACTATTGATCTCACAAAAAAGAATAATTTATAAGTTGGATGTGAAACATATTTTTTTAAGTTCGCCGTGTGTGCCATAACCCCCTGGCGTGCGGGGCGAAACAAGACGCGAGCAAGATGCACTATTGTCGCACTCTCTCCACTCTTCATTCCCCCTCTCTCCTCCCTATCTCACCAACGACATCGATGACAAGCAGATTTGAGGTATAAGTTGATGGTCAGCAAGTACCGGCAGTGGCGGAGCCAGGAGAAACTTAATCGGGGGGCCAACTGCCTGACCACCCATCGTTGCTCCTCCTCCTCTTCTCCTCTTCTCCATCCGCCTCACACCCAAGTGTTGCTTTCCTGTTCTTGGCCGCGGTGGCTGGCCTGAGCCACATCCCAGCTGACAGTGTCGGCGTGCTTTCTGGCTACGGCTGGGGCGTTGGTGGCCTGCTCGTCGGCGCACTCGGGCCGGGGCGGAGCCCCCTTCCTTGCAGTGGTGATGGAGCCCCTCCTCCCGGAGGGTGGCTGGGGGCAACCGAGGTTGCGGGGCAGGTGTGCAGTGGCTCGGTTGCGCCAGATCTGGCGGCTGGCCAGCACGCGCGGGGGGCGGTCTGGTGGTGGTGTTCGTCTGCCGGTGGCCACGGATGTGGGAGTGCCGAAGCTGCCTCCGGTGAAAGCCCCTGGGCCCCGGTTTTCTCTTCCATGAGCTGGTCTCTGTATCAGCAATGGGCATCAATTTTCTCTGTATCTTTAGTTCGGCTCTCTCTCCTTCTTTAGGATTATTAGCTCAAATGGCAATTAAGACATTTCTTTCTATTAGGCTCGGTGCTTTTCTTTGGATTCATGTGCATCTCCTCTTTGCTCATTTTCAATTGGTGACGCATATAGTAGATGCGGCAGGCAGCTTTCTTGATTTTTCTCTAGGGTAAACATGAACATCTCATCCGCTTTTTGTTGGCTTGTTGATCTTGTAATGCATGAAATAAGTTGGTTGGATTTTATGTAATAGAGCAGGTAGGACTATTAATTGGAATCTGAAATTTTAGCACAGGCACAAGACTTGGTTCCTAAGGCAGGAAGAGGAGGAGCTCGGGCGCGCTGGTGAGAGGAGCCGAAGTGGAACGGTGGTGCCGGGTGATGCGGTCGCCGGCATCGGATTGAGCATCACGTGGGCCGCGAGCCTAGCGGCTAGGATCCGGAGGCGAGGAAGAGTCCGTCCTCATGTCTGTTCATGTTTTTTTTCTCCCTTTAAAAAAGGAGCGAATGGAACGCTAGCAGGGCGGCGGGCACTTAATTACTTGAGCCAAAATGCAGGCTCCATATTTTCAGTAAAAGAAAATAAAGTGGTGCCGTAACAAAGATTATGCTACAATTAAACATCATGTTACAAAGATTTTGCACTGATACATCTTTGGCTTGCATAGAGCACTATTCTTCAAATATTGTTGCTTCCTAGAGAATGGTGCTTCTGCCTTCCGGGGCAGCACCACATGATGATCATGGAAATTTTATAGCTGCGCAATACCCCCACATGGACTCGGCAGCTATGGCGGAGGCAATTGCCCTGGGTTGCTACAAAATTTAAATTGATTCAGACTGAATTGAGTTAGTGGACACGATGAAGAACGGAGGCAACTCACTCAGTGTTGCAGCTGCACTTAGTTTATGAAGAATGCTCCTTTCTATGCAAGACTTTACGAATGCCAAGTTCGATCATTGTCCTATAAAAAGTTGCGCGTCTTTTGGCTTCTACTTCTAAGGTTTCTGCTGCTAATATGTGGCAACAGGAACACACATATTTTATCTTAGCACAATTAGCAACCATGATGTCTTTCCCTCAAAAAACTTACCAACACAGAAATTATCATGGTCATGGTCTCTATTTCTTTCGGCGCGTACTGACAAAACTATTTATAACACATTCCAAGGTTTAGTCTTCAGAAGAGAATCATTCCTAACATATTCGAGTGTATGACCTAGATCTGTTGCATCTAACTCCAGTTCCAACTAGAGACAAATATAACTCCAAACCACACACATAACTCTTATCTATCAGGTTATCAGCAGGTTCCAGATGCCGCTAAAACCTCGCAGTCGTAACCAATGAAACAAGAGAAATGATGGACCAAATTTTGCAGCAGTGCGGTACAAATAGACAAATCGAAAAACGCACATCTCCAATCACGCAAACGCTCCCTAAGCATACTTAAACAAGATTTAGTAATCCAAAGGCTCCTACGCATTCTTCAAGTTACCAGTCCAAAGGCTAACTAAATATACACATCTACATTAACAGTGGCCTACAATGTCCACGAGTAGACCAACGGCAACACACACGCCCCCGTACGTATCTTTCCTTTCCTGTGTAAACATCTTGCTGCAGGAAACAAACAAAGATGGCGATGTCAGCGAGCCACTGCGTAGTATGATGATGAGCTGCCAAGATAACTCAAAATGCAAAGAGGAACAACACGCACAGCTGCTCCTTGTGCCTCGGTCGGCCTCAGCTGGCGTTGGCCGTCTGGTCGTGCTCAATGAAGTCCATGGCCTGCTCCTTGGACACCACGTTGATGAAGCTCACCCTGTTCTTGTGTGTCACGCCGTAGATCTTGTCCGCCACCTTCAGGATCTCCGGCCTGAATGTGGTGGCTATGAACTGGGTGTCCGCCAGGTCAGCCAGACGCCGGACCACGCCTACAACAGGACTTAAGGAAAGCAGCAACAAAGATTCGGATGGATATTCTCAGCAGCAGCTGTATACCATGTGATTTAGCATAATGAACACAGAAAGGCATTGTTGGGCATGCACCCAGCTAGACAGACACTAGAACATTAGATGTATGACATGATATTATGGAGGATTGGATTCACTGGAAAAACAAGCATATGAAAGCTCCTCCATGGCGAGGATGAAAATGCAGAAGAAAGAAATAATTAAAAGGATACTCCCGACAGCCGTTCTGTACTGAGGATCCAGAGCAGCATCAATCTCATCAAACAGGTAGAACGGAGCTGGGTCACATCGTTGGATAGCAAAGATCAGTGTTAATGCCACCACTGTCTTCTGCCCTCCAGACAACTGCTTCATGGACTGAGTTTCTCCCTTGCCAGTGAAGGAAACCTGAAACATGACTAAGCATGAGTCTCCACACAGACAACCTTGAAGTCATCACCATGGTAATTCAGGAAGAGTTTAATAACCTGGGAACAGTTTTTTTTTACAGGAGCTTGGAAATAGTATCAGAGCATCATTTGGATTTTTATGATGGATTTAGAATAAAATATGCATGAATACATAAAAGATCTCTGGAAAGAACGCATGCCTTGACTTTCACACCAATATACTTCTCTATCCTCCCTTCAGGATCTGCTTCACGAGGCACGTCCTCATCCATGTCATCATCGCCAGCATCACCATCCTATAGAAATGGAGTTAGGAATTAGAAGTGAAAGAAACAGAACCAAAGTTGGTGGGTAAAGCAAAAGGGAATAGAAACCTTTTTCTTCATCATAACCAAGTATCCGTGACCACCTTGCACTAATTCAGAGAACACTTCGCGGAAGTGCCTTGCAACTCCTTTAAATGTGCGTTCAATCGATTCATCCTTCCTTTGGTCTAAAACTGATATCAACTCTCTAATTTTCTGCAATACCAATCAGTAGATTTTATGAGATTCTAGTCTTAGGACAATCAAAAGGGAAACAGGTTGTACTGATCAAAAAGCTTGCCTCATCACCAGCATCAAGTTCAGCCCGTCTTCTCTGCAGTTGTTCACGCTGTTCAGTGAAGTTCACATATTGGTCAAGAGCCTTTTGGTTGACATGACTAAATTGCTTCAACTGCTCATTGCAGTCATAGAGCAGCTTCTGTAGCTGCTTCTTGTTTTTTCTCTTGTACCTATGTTATTGGTGAAAAAAACAAGTTAACACAGTTCATAACACCACCTTATTTATCTGCTGAAAATTACTACAGGATAACAAACACAAGTAAACAGGCATTGTGCAAATGAGTCGGGCAGTTTAGCAGCATAAGAAAAATGGAAACATACGTTTCGAAAGCATCAGCAGGCAATGAG